CCCCTCCCCTCCCCTCCCCTCCCCTGCCACACACCTGCAGCAGCTGCAGCGGAGGTGGCATTCGCCCATTTGGTGGCACTGACGGTATTCAGCAAGGCTTCCTCTGTTATACCGCATCTGTTGGGAGCCCCAAGGGTGCCACCCGTGCACCCGCCATGCCTGTATCAAATCTCATCTGAAGGCTCATTTCCACAGTTTGGTCTGAAGACACTGGAAGAGACTGCTCTTCTTCCTGAAGCTGAGGAGACCCAGTGGGTGGGAGAGGACGGGAGGCTCTCTGGGGAGCCCACGTTACAAACTTCAGGGTGGTAATTTGGGACACGCCAGAGGCCAAGGTGGCTTGACCATTCACTGGAAGCCCGTCCGGTCTGGAGGCTTCCGCTCAGCCACACTGGGAGGAGAACGCTAGGCTAAACATGCTTCGGGGTTTTCGTGCTTTCGTTCTTCAGCTTGGCTAAACTCAAGATCCATGCGAAAAAAGTGGGGCACGGTAATATGTGTAAGTAAAGAAGAGGGGCTGTCCTGTCTCCAGAGGCTTTCAGAGGACTCTGCTGGACCACCTTCCAGCATGATACCGATCCACTTCCCTCTGCCAGCAGGGGCTTCCTATTCTCGTAGTTCCCGCATCCCTCACATTTGTGCTTTTGGGCGGGACCAAAAGCGGGAGGGCTCGTGGCCTAGGCATCTCTCCGCTCTCTGCCGGACCTTGAATAGGCCGCTGGCACAGAGGGACCCCAGCTGGAGCGTGGCAGCCAAGGAGGCTCCCTCAGCACTGGGCCTTGCCGCTTGGCCTACCACTGGCTCAGGCGTAGCCCACTAAGCTGACATAATGGCTGCCGGGGGGGGCTGTGACAGAAAGAGGCCCTTGTCTGAACACAATCCCCAGCCTTGTGCCGAGGCCGGAACAAAGGGCGCAAGAAGACAACCGGGATGAGCCTCCCGAGGCCTGAGCTCAGTGCCCGCCCCCCCCGCTCGACACAGGGCTGCCTTGAGTCCGGAGGCGCTCTGGCTGGTACCGGCAGGAGGAAGAAGAGGCGTGGGGTGCTGCAGGGACGGACGGGGGGCTGAAAAGCGCTGCTTTTCCAAGGCTGAGCGCGCTGAAATGGGCTGTTTTGGCAGAGGCCAAAAGAGGAACCCTCAGCCAAAGCGGTGCCTTGGTGCGGTGGGTCAGGGGCAGGAATCAGGCCAGGCTGATGCCAGTCAAGAGCTTTCTCTCAGTGCTCAGGAGAGGTGGCCATTGTGGGAAGAAAAGAGGCATCGTTCAGCCTGCAGAGAACCGGTGCTGAGCCCATCCCGACCTTGCCTCAGCCGGGGCTGCTCCCTGGGGAATGGAGTGCCGTGAAGACCCTTCTCCTGTCCTCTTGTGGCCCCCATGCCCTCTCACTGCCCGGAGACCCAGAGGTAGGGAAGGGCACAGCCCGGTATGGTGGGAGCCCCTTCAGCCGCCCCGCACTGGGCTTCTTCAGGTGAGGAGATGCCTGAAGGCCGCTTCTGGGTGCAGCCGCGTTCCAGGCGCAGGGTTCCACTTGCCTGACTTTTCCCAGCTTGTTGGGGCAGGTCTCCCAGGGGCCTGGGGCTCCTGGCATTCTGAGCAATGGACATTTCTGAGACCTCCGGCAGAGCTTTCGCCTGGCAACAGAGCGGCGGCAGCTGGAGCGACCCCAGGCTCAAAGCAACCCACGTGGGAGTCTGCCTCTCCACCCAGGGAACCACGTGCCCAGGGCACTGGGGCATTTGGTGGACCTGGGCATCTGGGCACCTGTCACCCTGAGAAGGCTCAGATAAATCAAAGCGAGCCGGGCAGCACTTGCCTCCCCCACCCTCTCTGAAGCCAAGCTGGAGCTGCTATTTTACAGCAGGCGGGAGGGGCCGGCCAGGTGGAAGATCCCTGGGCCAGGGGCCCTTTGCGCCTCCTGCTTCTGCCTCCCAGCCAGCGATTCCCAGCCCCCTGGAGGGGATTGGAGGACCCTCGGACTGAAGGTCCCCACCCACATAGCCAAGAAACCTGCTTCTGTCAAGAGAGGGCTCTGTTGGGAAGGGCAGCTGCAGGAAGGTGCCAGAGAGAGCAAGCCTTCTGACGCTTGCAGACAGGTGGCTGTCTTGTCATGACTTAAATTAGGGGTGGAAGCAGTCCCAAGAATGGGTTTGGGGTGCAAGCGGCAAAATAAATAAATAAATAAATAAACAACAAAACCACAGAGAATGACTCAGATGGAGGTATTTTACAGTTAAGAAGAAAAGCGGGTGCATAATGAAGCCAGAGGGGGGAGCACTTGGGGACATGTTCACCTCTTCCCCTCCTGCCCCCCCAAATTCTGGTGGCAGCCTGCACCCGAAGACTTCTGTCCAAGTCCATCCCAGCCCTGTTCATACAGCTGGGCAGGCAGGCACAGTCTCTGCCCCAGATATCGGACCAGCTCCCAACCTCTGAAATGTATCATCAGCTGCATTGCCCCATCTTATCAGAGAGTCTCCAGGTTGGTCAGAACCTTAGAGGTCACCTCGTCAACTCCTCACTCAATGCAGACTCCACCCTCACAGAAGACTACCGCTCTAGGGCAGTGTTTCTCAACCTTGGACTCCAACTCCCAGAATTCTCCAGAAGTCCATGCATGCTGGCTAGGGAATTCTGGGAGTTGGAGTCCACCCATCTGAAAATGGCTAAGGCTGAGAAACTCTGCTCTAGAGCATTGCTGTGAGTGGCCATGATCCTAGCCTGCAGAAATGGTCCAATGAGCACCTCGTGTTCTGGTGATGTAAGAGATTATCTAAAATTTTAAGGTACTTAGGACCTACAGAGCACCCCTGTAATATTTGCTTCCTATTTCTTCTCCTTCTTGTGTGCACGTCTGCTTTGCTTTTGTTTTTGGACTGATGGAAAAAAAAAAACCTGGGGGAGGAAGGAGGAGAGATTCTGTGCAGGAGAAAAGGAGGAGGGGAGGGGGAAGGGGGTACTAAGGGCGGGGAGCAGGCTAACTGCCTGCACGAGCCTGACATGCGGTGTGTGCTGGCTCCTGGGGGGAGGCAGGGACCCTCCCCACCACGGAATTCTCCAGGAGCTTGCTTGTTCCAAGCCAGAAAAACGTCTTTTATTTGCCCAAGCTACCATGGTTCCATGACATGTTATTTTTATAGCCACATATTCATGATTTAATGTTTTACTGGAGATTAGCTGTTCTGTTTTATGCCTTGCAGCACATCAGGCACCCTGGCAGGGGTGGGAGGAAAGCTAAGCCTCCCTTACAAGTTGGGAACAGCCTGAGAGGGTGGGGGCTAAGAAGCCGCACCCTTTTAACACGCGAAAAGCTGAACCCAGGACCTGCTGTAGCAGCGGAGCACTCCTTCCCCGAGAGGCGCTCCTGATTCCCACAGAAGGTGCTCGTCCCTCCAGCTGACTCTTCCACGGCGTGGCCCTGAGCGGCGGCTGCTCCAGCCGAGGGCCAGGCTGTAGACCCAAGAAGCCAAGGAGATGGGAGTCCAGGAATTCCAGGGAAAAGACGGCAGCCACCCCTGGGAGAGACCCCCTTTCAGGGTGGAGCGCCTGCCTTTGCCCTCGGCGGCCTGGGAGGCGAGCGGTCTCCTTGGGCCCAGTTCAGAGGCCCTGCAAGAGCAACGAAGGCGCCAACCTCTGCAGTCAGGTTGCAGGGAAGACGCTCCAGAACAAGAATCCGACAGGAGTTAACAGAGATGCACATTTTAGCTGGATGATGGTGGTGGTGGTGGTGATGCAGCCGAAGGCCTGGCCATCCAGGACCTGCCTCTGGGGCTGAGTCAGGTCCTGCCCACAGACAGGGACCCCTGGCTTGCAGGGCTTCTGCAGGTTCCTCCCATGAACTCTCAGAATAAAAAGACCCGCAAATCCTTAGTCAGTTAATGCCTGGTGGATTTGGCACATACCATGCATGCACAGCTTCCCCCTGCCTGCCCCCACAACCATCGCACCAGCATCTCGCTCCCTGACACTTCAGTGCCCCACATTCTGGAGCTTCAGGTTCCAAACCTGCGCCTTGCTTATTCCTCGGAGCAGCTCACGCTGACCCAACCTTTCGTAGACAGCCAGCATGCCCAGCGCTCTCCTGGGGTGCTCCGCACCTCCCAAGGAGATTTGGCACAGGCAGAGGATGAGATGGTTAGATAGCATCACTGAAGCAATGAGCATGAAACTGAACAAAC